TTGAGGGTTATAGGGTTTAGGGTTTCGGGTTTAAGGTTTGGGGTTTAGGGTTTGGGTTTAGGGGTTTAGGGGTTTAGGGGTTTAGGGGTTAGGGTATATATGACTTTTTGGGTCCAGGTCTGTTCGAATCGACTTTTTGTCACGGTACCGAACGGCGAACATCGTCGAACCACCGAGATGAGGCTCTGTTCTCAAACAAGAAAAGATGAGCTGAGGTTTAGGGTTTAGGGTTTAGGGTTCAGGGTTCAGGGTTCAGGGTTCAGGGTTTAGGGTTTAGGGTTTAGGGTGAGGTACTTCGAGGTGCTTGTGCAGAAGGCGAATCTCAACGAGGACCATCCGATCTCTGAATCAGCCGGGAGGCTTGTTTCGGGGGTTCCAGGTGTACAGGTGAGGACTGTTGGGACGTGCTGTATTAAATGTCACAAACGCCACGGGAACCTCTCGACCCTAAACCCCTAAACCCTAAGCCCTAAAATCCTAAACCCTAAACCCTAAACCCGAAAACCCTGAACCCTAAACCCTAAACCCTAAAACCCTAAACCCTAAAACCAAAACCTGCTATCGAGCCCCGGCTGTTTGACCGACGTGCCAGCCACAGTTGTGGGCCTCGTGTGTCCGGCGTTGGGTTGAGAGGCAAAGCTAGACACAATGAAGCGATGCAGCACATACCTAACCCCCCCCAAAAAAATAATAATAATAATAAGTAGGTAAAATAATGGCCCAAGACCCATAAAAAGGATATTATTCTACTTTCGGGGTCCAGGTATGAGAAAGCGCAGGGAGCAGTGTGCAAAATGTCGGTCAAAAGACTGCGCAGCTAGGGCCCTGAGCCCGCTAATGCCGGCAAGTGCCCGCTTCCTCTTTTCACCTACAGTAATCCAAAGGAATCGGTACAATTTTGGGCACAAGCACCATAATAAACATACTCCCTATTGTGGAAAGTGCTGGATGTCGTCCATAAGCCATGGGAACCACCAAACAAGCCCCACGTCTGAATGATGGGGGCTTGGGGTACAGGTAGGCAGACTATCAAGGAAGGGGCGAGGTACAGAGCCTTTGGTAGGATAGCATTCAAGCCAGCCGCATCTTTACCGAAGCTACTTCGTCATCTGGTCCATCACAACCCTAAACCCTAAACCCTAAACCCTAAACCCTAAACCGATCCCCCGAGCCTAAGAGGAGGATGGGCTCACGCTGGGTGTGACGACGGTGCTCCCCCAAGAGATTCCAGCGGCCTGGCTGCTGTGGCTCAGGGCTGTTTTTCAGTGTTGCATTAGGGGTATACAGGGCTTCGTGGCACTGTGGTCTTACATTGGTGTTCCTTAAAGACGTCTGGGTTTCTGTGGGGCTTCATGAGATCGATGAGGGTGTTCTTTAGGTAGGGGTGTAGGGCTAAGGGTTTAGGTGGGGGTTTGGGGTTTAGGGTTTAGGGGTTTAGGGTTTAGGGGTTTAGGGTTCCGGTTCACGTTAGAGCATTGGCCTTGGTGAGAATCTTCGAGGGGGCCTCAAGCTTGGGATCAGGGCTTGGAGGTTTTGGGGTTGTTGGAGGTTTTGGGGTTTAGGGTTTAGGGTTTAGGGGTTTAGGGGTTTAGGGTTTTAGGGTTTAGGGGTTTAAGGTTTAGGGTTTAGTGGTTAGAGTTTAGGGTTCAGGGTTTGGTAAGCCTTAGGGTCCCCATGCGCCCTCAACTGCCCTTGAAATAGCTTGATACAGATTATTACAGGCCATTAGGGGCTCCGTGTATCTCGGGGTCCGTGGTAAGTCTGTTGAACTGGTGGGGTTTTAAGCATGATAATTAGCCGCAACTAGATGGCACCCCTTGTATGCTTGAGAGGGTTGGAGGTTTGCTAGTTGTAGGGTTTAGGGCAAGTTTATTAGGGTGAAAGCGATTTTGTTGTTCTTTCAAGACCTATGTTGCTGAGCACACTAGCCTTGACCAGGAGCCCTTTGTGACGGCGGACGACGTTCCCAACTCTTACTGCTTCGGCTTCGATGGGACTCTTGAACATTCTATCACATACGCTTTTTGGGGATTTCGGTGCAGGGTGTGGGAGTCCCAGCATATGCCCCAAGACCGCGGCTGGAAGGAAGGCCTGCGTGGTGCTTCTTCAGCCATCACGAAGTATGTTTACACACCTTCACACCCAAGGGCCAAAAGCATGTCGTTACTTCGTGCAGCGCAAGATCTCAGACCTACTTCCTGACCCAAATCCCGAACTCCAGTCTGAGTCACCCGAACCAGCTATTACTCCGAACTTGTAAAACTCCAAGTAGGCAGGCTTTGCAGATTCAAAAGTTTCAGCCCATTCTCCGCGAGGAAGGCCGTCCTTCCGGACAGCGACGACCCCATCGATACTGGCTGGAACCCGAAGGATGTTCGCGTGGGAGACCGAGTTGGGCTCTTGGTGACCCCGCGAGGAGCAAGCTGAGTAGCTGGAGTGGTTGAAAACTTTGGGGTATACCTAAACCGCCCAAACGTAAGTACGGCTTGGGGCTATGGGTGTTTGTGCTGTGGGCTTAGACCTGTGAAAGCTTTGTAGGCTAAGCGTACGGGGTAGCCCTAATAAGGGTCAAAGGATCCAGCAATTAAGGACGTGAGTGCGCGCCAGTATTTGGGTAGTTACCGAAAAAAGGGTACCTTTTCAGGTCCCCTAAATAGTACGGCACCCTAATAAAAAGGATCCCAAAAGGGACCCTAACTTAGAAAACTACCCATTTAGTTTTGGAGGTCACTGCTTCGCAAAGACTGCGATCGTGACGCAAGCCAACAGCCGTAACCCGTCAACAACCCTTTGAAACCTCTTTGAAACATTTCTGAACACCTACGCAACACCCAACCCAAAAACCTGACCCCCTTGTGAAAAAAGCTTCCCCCATTAACCCTAAACCCTACCAAACCCTAAA